TAATTTGTTCAATGAGCCAATGCAAGCATTTGGGGAAAACATTTAAAGTAAATTTTAAAAAATCCAATCCAAACAAAACAAAACTAAAAATGTATCTACTTAGCTGCAAATTACATTTTCAGAGTGTCTTAATTGATTCAGGAAGCCAAATAGAAACAGTTACAATAAAAAGCTTTAAGGCAATTTGAAAATAATAATGTATTTATTAAAAAATAAGTCTCCAACTCTTTCCTCCTAAATATACAACAAAACAATGTTGGTCATCCTTTAAGAGACAGTACACATTATATTGCATTACATCTTTGCAATATAGTTGATACTGGTATTCTGTACTTTTGTGCTACATTTTGGAGTCATACCTGGAGCTCATTATGAATGCAGAGAGATCAATGATATATGTTGTCATTATGAGACCATGATTAATTCTCATTGCTTACTTTTATTATAAATAGAGCTTTTGTTGTGAGAACATACAATCTCTCATTTGTTGCTTGGAAACCCAAAAAAGGATCATGTGTTTCCAGAGTTGCTACCAACTGCTTAGCAAGCTGATTAACTTGTCTGCCTTCCTTTCGATTGTAGAGAACAGTTGTTAGAGGACTTGGCTGGCGATAGATGAACACTCTTCGCAGGCACTCACAAAGGGCAGAATATGAGTGGTCTGGTGCACAAGCCATGAATTTCTTGTCTTGCTTGGATGCCTGCACATAACCTGGAACACACATAGCCAGCAAAAGCAAGTAATTATTATTATTTATCTCACAGACCAGTTGTTATTGTGTGACCTTATGCTCTCTTGTTTTATGCAGTATAAGATGTGTTATGGGGCACAACTTTTTCTCTGGGATTCAACTGGATAAATGTGCACAGCTTTGTATCCTCAGGGCTAGACTACTGTTAATAGAATAGATTTGGGATGTTTTGGGAAACTACAAAGACACACAGCTATGGCAAACATGCTAAGAGGACAGCACATGAAAAATACTTCAGGGGAACGCCGTGTCTGGATTGGTTCTCCAGAGCTTTTCAGTGCAGCATTTGAACTCTATGAAATGTTGCTCTCATTCTAATTCAAAGTAAATATCAAATGAAACTGAGTTTCTAAAGCTTAAAGAATTACACGGACTATCTTTGACACATCTATTTAAGCCCTTTAATTGTGCAGTTGGCAAGATATTTCTAATCTTTCATTATACATGAGGAGAGTGAAGCAATATTTTCCTTGGAACCTATTACTGGAACAGTTTATCACCAAAGTGTTACATTGTATGCCATATTGCAACAAACTAATAAACTAAGAGGAAAATGTTGCTAGTTTTTAATCAAACTCTTAAGATAAAGCCAAAACAAAAAGGGCAGATTTTTTTCTATCTATTTGCAACTTAACAAAAATCCTGGACATTTTAGTTTTCCCCCCAAATAGCATCTTTAAGCTTTGAAACTATACACTGACAGATTCCTATCTTCACTTTTCCAGGCAATATCAACAGACATTAATTTTCTTCTTTTACAGACCAGACTTGTTTTTTTATTGGTATAAATGCTTCCATTTCTCTTTGCAATGCATACACATAATGCAAGGAATTTTATAGCAGAAGCAAAGCACAATTTAAAATGACTGAAAGATGTGGGCGTCAATGAAAATGTACACAGAGGCAATAATAAAAACACAATAAAAACTTCATACCAGAGAGAAGGTGGAATTAACATCTAAAATTTAAGCTGTCTTTTAGAGGATATCAGATTCTCTGGTATAAATGGCTGTTTGCCAGGATGCTATAACTATCACAAATAACTTTTGCTGACTAGAATCTGTTGAAGTTAACTCAGCATAAAGATTTTGGAAACACCAGGTAAGTTTCATCAGGAAGATTTCATTTAATTTGGGCTTTTATCCTCAACTGGATATGGAGATGGCCCACACTTGTAGCAATAAACAAATGTATTCTCTTTATATTCTCCCTAACACTTCAGAAGTTTTCTTCTCTAAAGCTAGTTTCTAATTCTGAAAAATATAGATTTGATGAGACAACACTTCAATTGCTATACTGCTCTCTTTTATCACAAGTTTGCTATTTTCTGAGATAGTGATTCCCAAGACTCAGCACCAAACAAATTTTAATGGGAAACTTTGCAATATGAACACAGATGACTGAACTAAGTGGGAAAGCGCCTCAGAATATTGTTCAATCAGAGTCTTCCCTTACCTAATGCATTGAAGGTAGAAATGTGCTCCCACTTGTCTTGCTGATCTGGACGGGGCTGCCAGAGAAGAGCATCAACATCATGGCGTAAGGAGAAGCACGGCATTTCCTTAGGATCTACCACTGTTGAGAAAAGATACTGATTGCTTCCAAGGTTTACCTGCAGGATTAGGAAAAGCAATCTTATTTATTTCCAAAGATTCCAGAAAGTATTAACTGACTACACAGAACACAACAATATCAGTAAAAAAATAATAATAGTTGAGCAGTCCAAATCTCTGTATATTGCATTTTCCAGTCCAGTTCTGATCTGCTCTAAAGGATTAGGATTTGGGGATTGGAGGATCAGCACACACACTATATAAAACTGATATTATTCAGTTGTGCTCCCTGACTCAGTATGGCATACTGTTTTTAATGCTGGCTCTACAGATTCTGATCTTTATTTGGTGATGAATCTTATTGGGTAAACACAGAGTAATTTATTCATTTTATAACCTTTTCCAATATAAGTAATATTCAGGATGATTAACAAGGTTTTTTTTAAAAAAAACAACAAAACCAAACCAGTACAAGTTAAACAAAAGTAAGTTTTTCACTATTACTTGCTGTGCAGTCTTATATTTCAAAAGACTTATACCAAGAAAAACTTTTTGGAGGCATCATTGTGAGAATTTTATGTGGGATGTCTATATAGGTTGTGGAATTCTGTGGGTTATACTTAAGCTGGAATAAAGATTGCTATTTAAAGCCTATGAACCTTGGAATGGCTATGTTCCTTTAGAAAGGCAGCTTTTATCTGTCTTCCCCCAGACCTATAAATGACATTAGCACATTGTAAAAAAAAAAAGTCTGCTGCATACATTTAAACAGCAATAACAATTAGGATGGTTGATGCGCCAAACCATTAAAGCTGCTGTTTCCAACAGAAGCAAAAAAAACCCTACCTATTTTTATGCCAATTTAAACACATAACTATTTTTTTCAGACTTTGAATGGAATCCAAATAAATAAATCACTCTATTTTGCATATGGAAAAGGTTATAAGCTGGTCAAAAAAGCTCCAGAGGCTACACATTCAACATCATTCATTGTAACTTGTAAGAAAAACAGTTGCCTCATTGCTGAAAACCAAGGTTCAGAATTTGTAATCAAGAACAGTTAATCAACTTCTTAATGCAGTATCATCTTTCCTGAAATACTTAATTTTACAATGAATTTTGCACATTACTACAGATGCCTAGGTCTCTCAGTAAATATGCTCTGAGTAGCAAGATGCCAAATACAAACACTCCATGGCATTTTTGTCCTTGCAGCTGAAGCTCTCGTTCTATATGAAACCCAGGAAAGTTCTTTGTACCATAGAAGGATGCAACTTTGGTTTTAAAACTCTCAAGGGATTGAAAATGGGATCTTTTTCATAGTTACTCTATGGCCATTTCACACAAATTGGAGTTTTGAAACATGGTTTGTCACATTATAAGGACAGCATATTACCTCCTAGGTACTTATTTAGCTTTGCTGAGTTCAATAGTTTCATACCAATGTTTTAAATAAATCGAAATCAAAAGGTACATATCTTAGCAGAGGATAAACCATGCTCCAGATTTTTTTTAAAAAATAGAAACTTTAATTAGAATTTCTTAATTCATAGTTTTTAGCACCTGCAAAATAGATAACAGCTGCTTACAGATAATATTCTGCATCTTCTGAACTGCTAAATTATTTATAGGCAATCAAAAATTAGCAATATTTATATTTACTTTAAGACTTTAAGAAAGCCTTACTGGATTAGATCAAAACCAATATTTCTTCAACATTTTGATTCTCACAGTGGCCAAATGTTTATGGGTTCTGACAAGCAGGCAGTGCAGACATCTCTCCCCCCCCCTCCCAATCCTTGCTATTATTTCCTGCTACTATCTGGAATCCTGAACCCCCATTACAGAGGTAACATTAAGCTTTCCAATGTAGTAACTATTAATAGATCTGTCCTCTATGCATTTATACAATCTGATTTTAAGACCATCCAAGTTACTATGTAGGTGATAATGCATTCTCTCTCCTTGGTTGGAGAACAGATTTGACCCTTTTGTCTATTCTCATTCATTAATCTGCCTCACTACATAAATTCTGATCCTGATGCCATTTTCTTCAAGGAGTGCTTGACTTTTCATACATTGCTTGATCCCCTTTTTGCCTGTAGGAAAGGTTTATGAAACCCTTTTAGAATTCTGATTGTTTTCTTCTGCATTGTTCCATCTTTTACTATATACTTTTACAAATGCCACAAATACTGTAGACAGTATTCCAAATGTGGACACATCACAGAACTATAAAGAGGCATTAAATGTTAGCTTTTAATTCAATCCCCTTTCTAGTGATCCCTATAATAGATTTTTGTCAAAATCTTCAGTGAGGTGTTCACCGGGATTTCCAGATCACTTTCTGATTAATTACAGACGCCCCAGACCCCATCAGTCTCATCAGATGTGTGTGTGGAGGATGGAGGATTGTCTCAATGTGTATCGCTTTATATCTATTTAAATAACTGCATCTGTCATTTCTAAACATTCATCTAGTTTGCACTGAGTCATTTAGCTCTGTTCACAATCAGGTTTTTTTTGGTAAAACTTTCCTAAATAGTTTTTAAAGCATTATCTAAAATACATACCTGGATTTCTTATTAGCTAATCCTAAATTCAGATTATTTATGAACAAGTTCAAAAGCAATGGACCTAACATAGATCATTTTTTTATACTGCCTTCATTACTTTATCAATAACTCAAGGCAGAGAACATACAGGTGAAACTCGAAAAATTAGAATATCGTGCAAAAGTTCATTTATTCCAGTAATGCAACTTAAAAGGTGAACCTAATATATGAGATAGACTCATTACATGCAAAGCAAGATAGTTCAAGCCGTGATGTGTCATAACTGTGATGATTATGGCTTACAGCTCACGAAAACCCCAAATCCACAATCTCAGAAAATTAGAATATTACATGCAATCAATAAAACAAGGATTGTACATAGAACAATATCGGA